CATGTTTGTATAGAGTGGTTTACCATTTGTGAAATAAAAAAGAGGGAATGGGATTGAATGACTATATGGGGAGAATGTATATATGTAACTGTTTGTGTTTAAAATATTTCCATAAGGATTCATAAGTAATGGCTAATGGTTGTCTCTGGGAATGGGGCGGGTCAGCCAGAGACACAATTGGAAGGAGACTTTTTATTGTTTACTAGAGGCCTGGTGCACGAATTCATGCACAAGTGGGTCCCTCAGCCTAGCCGGTGATCGGGGCCAATTGGGGGGCCAGCTTGCCGGGGGTGAGGTTGGCCCCAGCAGCAGGCTAACCAATGGCTGATTCGGTGAGGAATCGGGCTCCCTCCTCCCTCCTGTCTGGGTCGTAGGGTGCAGGTGAACCAGATTTGGGGCTGTCAGGGTCTCAGCAGCAAGGTCTGGGTCAGTGTGCATCACAGCTACTAGCTGGTCATTCTGGTCATTCCATCCTAATGGTTACTTAGGCTTTTATATCTCTAGATTCTCCCATACCTTTTGAATTTTTATTAAGTGAATTCATTTTCTATTAAGAAATATAAATAAAATCAAAACAAATAAGCAAATAAACATTTCAACAATAGAAGACAAGCTCTATAATTGACCACGATAAAAGCATGGTTCTGTTTTTGTGAGTTATCTTTTCTCTCTCATTGATTTTTCACTGTATAGAGTCATGCCATCCTTTAAGAGTTCTTTGGTGTGGCGCTCCTAGAGTGTTTCTTTCCTTTTCTAGCTGTTTCTTTTTAATGTGTGGAAGTTGGCAGCAAGATGGAGAGGGTTAAAGAGTGTTAGAAAAAATAATTGGAAAGAGTGCTGATTACAAGCAGAGCAGGGCCTTCATCTCGCTACTTGGTGGCAGGCAATGGCTCTGTGTCATTCAAAGGCATTCTTTTGAAAAAGTCATTCTTTTGCTGACCCTGGTAGGGACCAAACACTTTTCTGAAATACTCATTCTTTTTATGGCTCTAGCCAGTTCCTGTCAATGCAATAAGAAAAGCTTGAACTGGAAAGGCCAGGGTCTGTGGGAGAAAAATAATGTTGACTCATAAAGAGAATCTGCAAATCTTTGCCCAAGTGGGAATGAGTGTCCTGCTGTATTTCTCTGCCTTCCAGATACTCTTCAGCACATTTTCATCCCTGGTTTCATTGTGCCTCCTCAGAGGGCTTATTGTTGTGTTGAAAGTCACCTGGTTTTTTACAAAAGGCTATTTACATTTGGAGGTGCCTAAATTAGTTTTGATTGGGGGCTTAAATAGACTGTTATTTATATCCGTGGCCTTAGTTTATAAAGAATCTGATTTCAACAGAGAGTTCTTTTCCTGAACTGATTTCCTTAGATTCAGATTTGAGAGTTAAGTTCCTTCAAGAAATAATGAGGATCATGGTCTAATACATTTATAAAGTTGTCTGTTTTCATTTTTTAAAATTGATTTCATTTTTAAAATTAATTCAAATTAAAAGTTTTAAACAGGTGTTTTTTGTTTTTTTAATTTATAAAATTTATAATAAAAGTCTACTCAATCTCAGGTACATTACACAGTTTGTCCACTTGATGGCACCCAAATATTGAGGAGGAATCATTTGCTTTAAAACTTGGGAGTTCACTTGTTAACAGTAGGGGAAATGGTTCTGGGCTTTGGACAATTATGTATAACTATTTTAAATTATAGTCATGAATACTGTTTAGAAATACGTATAATTATTTGTGTACAAAAGTGTCTAAAATATAACTTACGTATATTCTATAATTATAGCTACATAAGATATGTATGAATACAGACAAAAATTTAAAGGAGTTATGCAGAAATGAAATCAAGTTAATTTTAACCCCAAAATTTTATGAATGATCTTTTCTTTGTTTTGGTTTTTTCTTTATTGGGGTATAATTTATACACACAAAAAGTCTCCCATTTTAAGTATAGAGATAGATGAAATTTTGTAATTGTTTGGAGTTTTGTAGTCACAATAACGAAGATGTAGTTCTATCACCCGAAGAATAGTGCCTCTTTCCAGTAGATTCCCTCCCACAGACAGCCACTGACCTGCATTCTGTATTGATTTTTAGAATTTCTCATAGATGGAATCCCACATATAGTATGCAATCTTTTGTTTGACTTCTTTCACGTACCATGTTTTTGAGATTCATCCATATTGTTTCACATATTAATATTTTCTTTTTTAAATTACTAAATAGTAATCTATAGTATGGCTATATCACAATTTGTTTACCCATTTATCAGTTGATGTACATTTAGGTTATTTCCACGTTAGGCTATTGTCAGGGAATCGAACCCAATGACCCTCTGTACAAGGGCCAACATTTTAACCACTGAGCACTGGTCAGGGTGGACTCCAGTTTTTTGTTTTGGCTATGACGTGCATTGTGTCTCTTTTGGTGTTTAGGGCTTAGAATCCTATGGAAAATTCTGGAACTTTTTCTTTCTATTTTTATTTTATTTTATTTTATTTACTAGAGGCCCAGTGCATGAAATTGTGCATGGGTAGGGTCCCTAGGCCTGGCTTGCGATCAGGGCCAATCAGAGCCAGGCCCATCAGGGCCAGGCCGAAGAGTAGGTGATGGTTGCTGGGCCAGGGGCAGAAGGAATGGACACACCAGACACTGATGCTACTATCGTCAGCACCCTGCTGCAGCGCGGTTCCCTGCCTCCTCCCTTCCTCTTTCCCTCACCTCTGCACCACCACTGCAGTGGGCCGATAGGGGCCTGCTGGCCAGGGGGGAAGAATGGGGTATGGGAAGTTGGCTGAAAGGAGGGAGCTAGTCCTCAAATCCCCTGAGAAAGGGGTCATCCCTGGTTCCCTATCCTAATTTGGGGGCCTGCCAACCAGAGGGAGGGGCCATGGGAGGTTGGCCAGCTGGGGTAGGCTGGCTGTGGGAACACACTGACCACCAGGGGGCAGCTTCTGCTTTGCGTGTCTGACCTCTGGTGGTTAGTGTGCATCAAAGTGACTGGTCATTCCGGACATTATGGTCACTTAAGCTATATATATATATATAAAATTTTATATATATAAATTTTTATATATATAAATTTTTATTGATTTATATATATAAATATATATAAATTTATATAAATATATATATATATATATAAATTTTTATTGATTTCAGAGAGAAAGGGAGAGGGAGAGAGAGATAGAAACATCAGTGATAAGAAAGAACCATTGATAGGCTGCCTCCTGCATGCTCCCAACTGGGGATGGAGCCTATAACCCGGGCATGTGCCCTTGTCTGGAATCAAACCCGGACCCTTCAGTTCACAGGCCAATGCTCTAGTCACTGAGCAAAACTGGCCAGGGCAATTTCTTTCTATTTTTAAAAATGAGTTTCACTAGAATTCTATGATTTCCTGGTGCTGCTTTGTAATAGGTAAATGCCAGAGAGACAAAGTAGAAAAATAGAGCAATTAATGAAGGACTAGCTCGGAGAATCTTATCTACATTTGCCATTTATTATCTTGTCAATGTGAAGTTTACCTAGGCTTATTTGTTTTGCCTTTCATTTTCATTGAAAGTCTTATGCTTTTCCTTTCTTTTTATGCTTCCTTGATTTTTTTTTTTTTTTGTCTTTAAATATAGTATGTGCTTATTTGGCAGAACAAAATTGATGGGTTGATTTGAAGAAAAAGCTCCATAAAACTGAATTATAAAAATATGTATTGATATTTTATAATAGGTATTATTATAAAATATAATAATAAAATATATTAATACAAATCTGTAGTTATGTGAAGCTGGTACCATTGTCTCAATCTAGAGGGATGGTTCTCAAACTTTATTGTGCATCAGAATCACTGTTAAAAGAGACTGTAGGACCCCCTCACCACTTTCTGACTCAGTAATTCTGAGGGGGGGTGGAGCCAAGACTTTGCAGATCTAACAAGTTCTTAGGTGATGCTGATGGTGTGTTCTTGAGCCCACACTTTGAGAACAACTGGTGTAGGAGAACAAGGGGAAGAATGGAGGTAACTTTTCCTAGTTTTGACTTTTTACACCTGGCATGCAAACACTACCAATAGTCTCAAAGATATTTGTAAATCAGTTACAAAAGGCATGGTTAAAATACATACATGTATGTTGCACACCGTGTGAATATACTAAAAACTGCTGAATTGTAAACTTTAAAATGGTAACTTTTATGGTATGTGAATCATATCTGAATTTTAAGATACATGTAACGTTTTTGTTTCCTTTTCCCATTTGTAAAAATATTCTATCAATTCAGCCAATTCCCACCCCCATCCTTACCCCCAACCCCACTTCTGAAATACTGTCTTAAAAAAAATAAAAGGAAAAAGTTAACTGCCCATATTTAGTTTCCACATCCAATAGGAAAGGAGGGAGAGAAGGGAATTTCCAAAGGCAATATTGCAATCAGCAGTTTTGGAACCAGTTATGTGTGGGAGGGTATTGTAGAAGATTAGCATGGATCTAAAAATGTGCTTTGGGAAGTTGCTGCAAATGTCTCTACAAACTTAACGTGTATCCTGGAGATTTAACTGTGAAAGTTAATTAGCTTCATGCATCTTAATACTCTTGCTATATGAAGCCTCTCAGACTACTGCCGTGCAATGGATTTAGCAGAGCAGTTCAGAATTACTTGACCAAGCCAGATTGCTTTGGCTACTCTGGGGAGAGCAGGGTCCTGTAAAATGCTATTCATTCGCACTTGCATTTGGCCAGGAGCCTGCTTTTACCTGAACTGAGTGAGAACCCCTGATTACCACGTGCGTATTTCTGGCAGGAAGCTGAAAATGTGTGTTGTTATTCAAAGACAGGCACAGGGGACATCTGACTGGGAGCCTCAGCTCAGGAACCAAATGCTCTGCTTTTGTCTCTGTAACGCCCCCTGGTCCTGTGACTGCACTGGGTTGTGTTCGCCATTTTTAACAATTCTGATTCTGCCGAAAGACCTTGGTCTTTTTGTTCGTTTTGATTTTGTGACTTTAAAAAAATCTTAGGGCTTCATATGTCTTTCTCTTCATTTTATCTTTTGCTCTTTGTAAGTTATTTTTACTCTCTGTGAACATTTATATAAACTTATTTCACAGGAGCAGAGTGATTCTGCCTTACGTAGGAGGCCTAAGCACATGTCTACATTTCACTTCCCTGGGAGGTACTGCCCAGCTTCTGTGGGTGACTCCCGCAGGCCTGGGGAAGTACAGTTGTCTGCTCTCTACAGAGCTTCTGTGACAGACACAGCTACTGTTTATCAGAATTAGAGAAGAGAGAATCCTTTATGCCTTAGGAGACCATTTCACTAAACAGCGCGCTGTGTCGCTCTTCATCCTGGGCAGAAAAAGAATGATCTTCCTGTAAGTTTACCGGAAAGGAAAGAGGGAAAATAATTGCTTCCTTTTCTTCCATTAGGAGCATGGTTCATTTAAAAAATTTTTTTTAAAAATTTAATATTATGCCTTAGAAAACCTTGAAGAATTAAGGAAAAACAAAACAAAAAAACATGAATGGGTCAAGCAAATAGTTTGACCATAAGCACTTTTGAATCAGAAATCAGTTTTCTCTTACCCATTTCCCTGGGCAGCGAATGCTGGTGCTGAACTGCTCACACTTGCTCCTCTTGTTATGTAGGTACAGTTGAGTGACTTTAAAACAACCAAGACTCTAAAACTACCAAGTGTGTAAGAAGTACGCTTTGAAAACATCAGACCTACAGACCCAAAGGGGGAATTCTGAATATATTTTGTAGTAATAAACCGAAATTTGAAGATAATAACATCCTTCAGTTACATCTAGCAAGAAAGGGATGGGAAATTGTTTGGGGAGGGGGGGAAGGGGTGCGGGGAGAGGGGAGTGATTTATGATGGTGCCCTGATCCCAGCCTCTCCAGTGGACTCACTTCTCTTGGCCTTCGGCTGGTTTGGACAAGGATCATGGGAAGCTGCCAGGATGCCCCCTGGCAGCCTGAGAGGTTCTGAGTATCCCCAAGGTAACAGGCTTATGCTGATCAGCAACATTACTGTACACCATGAAGCAGGCTTTTTTTTTTTTTTTTCTATTTCTTTTATTTCCTTTCTCTTCTCTCTCTTTTTCAAACTCTGGCTCAGGGTAAACTTGCCAGGGGCTGTAACTGTCCTTGGTACAGTGGTTGGCATAACATTCTGCTCTCGGACCTCCCAGAAACTACACCTCACCATCAACAGTTGAATTGTTTAAAAAACACTTGTGCCTACCTTTAAAAATGCTTAACTGGGTCTGTGGTGGAGCCTGGGCATCTTAACCTTTTTAAACTCCTCACATAACTTTGATGTGTGCTCTTGAGAATCAGCCCGTCGTGGTGAAAAGAGTGGCAATGTCACAAGAACAGAGATCGCTGTAATTTATCCCAGTCCATGCCTGTACTGGGCATAGATTGCATCAGTCCCCTATCTATGCTACAACATGGACAGCTCATCCCTCTTCTCTCAGCCTCTTGGTTCCTCCACACACTCGTCCTCTCCCTACTGTCCACTCCTGTCTTGCTTTGGGGCCACCAGGAATTAAATCAGGCCCTGGAAAGGTTTCCATCCTTCTCTGCTGAACTTGCCTTTCCATAGCTCGAGGATTGGCCTAATTCATTGGGTAAATGGGCAAGTAATTGGTAGCCAATTGGGTAGAGTTTATGTTTTTCCAACAATAGTAGTGTGGATAGGGACTCCATGCTGCTAATTGCTGCTAATTGCTATCTTTCCTTCCTTTCCTGAATCATATATATATATATATATATATATATATATATATATATATATATTATTGATTTTTTACAGAGAGGGATAGAGAGTCAGAAACATCGACGAGAGAGAATCATCGATCAACTGCCTCCTGCCCCCACCACTGGGGATGTGCCCGCAACCAAGGCACATGCCCTTGACAGGAATCGAACCTGGTACCCTTCAGTCCACAGGCTGATGCACTATCCACTGAGCCAAACCGGTTTCAGCCTGAATCCTATTCTTAACATCATATGGTGAAGCATCAATTTAAAAATCCATTCTTGCCCAGCCAGCTCAGTCATTAAGCATCAACTTATGAACCATGAGGTCAGTTTGATCCTGCTCAGGGCACATGTCCAGGTTGACTCCCAGTGGGGAACATGCAGGAGGCAGCCAATCAATGATTCTCTCTCTTTGATGTTTCTTTTTCTCTCTCCCTTTCCCTTCCTCTCTGAAATCAATAAAAATATATTTTAAAGATAAAATAAAATCCATTCTTTTCAGTTTTAAGTGATAATCAAGCATTAAAATAGTCTCCCTTCCTATGTTAAAAAAAAAGTTGAAATTATACAATGCTTTACAAATATACTTTCAAGTGGACATGATTACATCCCAACCATACTGGCTCTCTATTGGACACATAGTAACAGGATTGCCAGAGAGAGGGAGAGAGAGATAGAAACATCAATGATGAGAGAGAATCATCGACCAATTGCCTCTTGCATACCCCCCACCGGGGGCTGAGCCTCCAACCTGAGCATGTGCCTTGACTGGGAATCAAACCATGATCTCCTGGTTCATAGATCGACGCTCAACCACTGAGCTATGCCAGCTGGGCTAATTTTTATATATGGTGTTAGATAAGGATTTAAATTTATTTATTTTCTGCATATAGATATCCAATTGTCTCAGTAAACGTATTTGTTAAAAAACTCTTATTTTTCTCTCTCAGTGAATTGTTTTGGCATCTTTGTTGAAAAGCAATTGGCCATAATTATAAAGACTTATTTCTGATCTCTCAGTTCTCTTCCATTGGTTTGCACGTCTATCCTTGTACCAATATCACACTGTCTTCTTTTCTAGGTATTTTTAAGTCTTTGTTACTATTAGGAATCAAGTTAAAATTACCTTGAATCTAAAATATTATTAACTCAGAGCTATTTTCCTTAAAGTGACTGACAGATTAATATTTAATCTATTATAAAATTGGAATAATAGGAAAATGCTGCTTCATGCTTCAATTAGGTAACTTGAAATTGCTTCAGAGCCATTTAATTCTTACGGAACTAAGTTGCAAAGATGTTAGAGACCTTGGTATTCATATTACATTCAATATTCTATTGAATAGCATTTAATTTTGTACTTTGAATTTGAACCATTATCATTATTTACTCATTTTCTCTTAGTCTAAGTAACATTTCCAAAGACCTGATTTTCCTTCTGATTTCTTTCAGATCAGTCTCTAGAATCCCGTAGACTCTTCCACAGGCCGGTGCCGAGCTTGCCCAACATGGACTCTGTTTTCAGCGAAGCCTTCCTGAAGATGCGGAAGCAGCACCCTGGGTGCCTTTCTCAGGAGACTTGTGTCCGCGCGGTCCAGGCCGCCGCACAGTATCCCTATGAGGTGGGCATCCAGAAGGAGGCAGAGCTGTTTATGTATCTTCGGCAATCAGGGCAGGCTAGAGCCCTGCAGTATGCTTTCTTTGCTGAGAGAAATGCACATAAGTGGTCAGTTCCCTCTGGAGCATCCTGGAAAACGGCGTCGGCACGGCCCATCTCCTCCGTGGGCGTTCTCGGTAAGAACGTGGGATCGTTAATGTCATTCTCCAAATCTGCACATGGGACGTGCTACTACCATTTGCTTAGGGCCGCTGGGTTCCAGGTTCTCTGCTAGATATATTATGTGTGTTAGCTAACTTAGTTTTCACCCCAGCCCATGAACTATCTTCATTTCACATGTGAGGCCTAGAGACACTAACCTTCTCAACAAGGAGCTAAATACTAGTAAACACAAGTGGTGTGAGAGTCTAACACTAGATCTGTCTGAATCCAGACTCTGGGCATTTTTTCACTCATCCCAATCTCTTCTCTGTTTGAATCTGTCACTCCTGAATTTCCCAACAATGGTTATTATTTGTACCACATTTTAGGTGTGTCCTGTCACTCTTGCAGTGAGGCATTTGGAATAAAGTTTCTGTCTTTCTGGTCCCTGGAACCATTCATTTTCTTCTCCTAGTTCAAAACCAACTATCCTCAAATCCATCTGAACCTTGAAACAGGGCTTACCTTCTTTTGACACCTGGAATTTTTCCAAACAAATGTCTTCCTTCCACAGAAGCTAGCTCTTTGATTGGCTTCTTTGGGCCACTTTCCTAAGCTTCACTTGCTCTTAGTCTTGGCCCAAGAATGATCTGTTGTGGATTTTAAACCCGTGAAATGGGAAGTAAAATGTTATATGCTTCAGCTCATGTACAGTCTTTTGGGGAAAGAGGTTCATAGTTTACTAAAAGCATTCTCTCTCTCTCTCTCTCTCTCTCTCTCTCTCTCTCTCTCTCTCTCTCTATCTCTCTCTCCCTCCCTCCCCCCCTCCCTTCCTTTTTTTCCTTTGTTTTTTTAAACTTTATTAACCCTCACCAAAAAGAGAGAGAAACACTGACATGAGAGAGAGACATTGATTGGTTGCCACCCAACTCAACCTGCAGAGAAAGAGTCCACTCTATGCATCTTCTTAGTGTTATCTTAGTCAAGTTTTAGTATAAAACTAGAGGCCTGGTGCACGGAGTCATGCACAGGTGTGGTCCAGCTGGCCTGCCCCAATCAGGGATGATCAGGCTGTGCTGGCTGGGGTGGAGGGGCCGTGGTGTAGGGGCAATGGGAGGTTGGCCAATTGGCCCCGCCCTCAATCAGGGTGGGGGGTGGTTAGGGGCAGGGCCAGCTTGAAGGGAAGGGCCGGGGTGATTGGCAGGCTGGCCTGCCCCCCAGTCAAACTCCCAGTCAAGCTCCCAGTCAAGGGTATGATTTGCATATTAGTTTTTTATTATATAGGATAGTTGGTTTAACATTTTTTTTCAATTACATTTGACATACAATATATAAGTTTAAGGTGTACAACATAGTGACTAGATATTTATATAACTTACAAAGTGATAACCTGCTAAGTCTAATACCCATCTGACACCAAATATATTGGTACATATACATATTAGGTTTAGTAATAATTAATGTCGTTTTCTAATACTTTTTTAAATCGAATTTATTTAAACAATACAACAAAATTTAATCAACAATATAGTTGCTGTTGTTTTCTACTACTTGTGCCCAATGCTCAGGAAGCATTTTAATCTCTCTGTTGTAAAATTCTTGTGATTTTGATGCAAAAAATTCAGTCAATGCATTTTTGAGGCATTCTTCATTATTAAATTTTTTTCCAAGAAGAAAGTTTTGCAAAGAACAAAACAAATGGTAATCGGAAGGGGCAATATCAGGAGAATATGCAGGTTGAGGGAGAACTTCCCATTCCAACTAGCGCAGTTTTTCAGCAGTGATTCTTGCAGTATGCGGTCGTGCGTTATCGTGGTGAAGAATTATGCCCTTCCGATTAATGAGCGCTGGTTCTTTTTCTCTTAAAGCTTGGGCTAACCTTTCCAATTGGGCACTATACACTGCACTTGAAATGGTTTGGTTAGATGGTAAAAGTTCATAATGAAGAATTCCTTTAAAATTCCACCAAACACACAACATCACTTTTTTCGCATGCAAGTCAGGTTTTGGCGTGGGCTGCGGAGCCTCATTTTTGTCCAACCATTGAGGCCGCCTTTTCAAATTAACATACAGCACCCATTTTTCATCTCCGGTAACAATTTGCTCTAAAAACAGCAAACGGTTTTGACGAGAGAGGAGCGAACTGCAAATTGTGACTCTTTGATTACGGTTGTTGTCGGTCAACTCATGAGGAACCCATTTTCCAAACTTTTGGACTTTGCCAAGTGCACGCAATTGATTGGAAATTGTTTTTTGTGAACAATTTAAAGTTGTCGCAAGCTCTTGTTGGGTAATTTGAGGATTTTGCACCAAAAGAGCTTGAAGAGCTTCTTGATCAAAATTGGACACACGGCCTCGACCACTCTTGTCATCTAACGAAAAATTTCCCTCGCGAAATTTCTCAAACCAACGCTGGCATTTTCTGGCGCTAACTGCATCTTGACCAAGAGCACTACAGATGTTTTTTGCAGCCTCACTTGCTTTTCTTCCTAATTGGAACTCGTAAAGCATGCAGTGCCGAATATGCTCTTCATCCGCCATCTTCTTAGCCCTAGTTTTGCAACAAAAACCAAACCAAACACAAACTTTTTCAAGCAAAACTTGTTAATTGCACTTCACACGTTCTGTAGATACCACGTGTTTGAAGGTTATGTCAATACAAGTCAACGCCAAGCAAGATTTTAAACGAATGTTTAAAACCGACATTAATTATTACTAGACCCGATACAATGGAATACTACTCAGTCATAAAAAAGAATGAAATCTTGCCATGTGTGACAACATGAATGAACCTAGAGGGAAATAAGTCAGACAGAGAAAAACAAATATCATATGATTTTACTTATATGTAGAATCTAAAAAATAAAATAAATGAACAAACAAAATAAACACACTCATAGATACAGACAACATGTTGATGGTTGCCAGATGGAAGGGGTGTTGGGGAGATGGGTGGAAAAGGGGAAGGGACATGGGTCAGCAAATTTTTTCTGTGAATTCCAGATAATTAATATTTTAGGCTTTGTGGGCTGTAAGGGTCTCCGTTGCAACTACCCAACTCTGCTATTAGCACAAAAAAAGCCATAGAGAACAGAAAAACAAATTAACATGGTTGTGTTCCAATAAAACTTTATTTATAAACACTGAGATGTGAACTTGATATAATTTTATGTGTCATAAAATATTATTCTTTTTATTTATTATTTAGTTAGTTAGTTAGTTATTGGTTTTTCAACTGTTTAAAATGTGAAAACATTTTTAGCTTGTAGGCAATACAGAAGCAGGCACTGGTCCGGATTTTAACAATACTAAGCCTTCTGAATAATGAACATGAGATTCTTTTCATATATTTGGGTCTTCTTTAATTTCTTTCAATACTGTTTTGGGGTTTTAGTGTACAGGTTTTGCGATTCTTCATTTAATTTATTCTGAACTATTTTATTCTTTTTGATGGCTATTGTAAGCAGAATTGTCTTCTTAATTTCATATTCAGATTTTCCATTGCTAGCATGTAGAAATACAGTTGATTTTTGTATATTGATCTTGTATCCTGCAACTTTGCTGAACTTGATTATTAACTCTAATAGTATGTGTGAATCCTACACATTGTTATTTACTCTAAAGCACTTAGCACAGTGTCTAGCCTTAACTAATATTGAATCCATGTACACTGAGTGGCCAGATTATCATGATCTCTGAACGCATAATAATATGGCCACTCAGTGTAATATCCTATATAATAAAAGCCTAATATGCAAATTACCCCCTCAACCAGGAGTTTGACCAGCAGGCAAACCAGCCAACTGCCCGTGTCCCCTTTCCTGGTCAGACTGGCCAGACCCCACCCATGCACGAATTCATGCACCGGGCCTCTAAAAAAAAATACACACACACACACACAAACACACACTAAGTGGCCAAATCTGGCCACTCTGTCTATATTCCTTGAATTGATCTCTTTAAATGTCACATTGCCATAGAAGCCTTGCATCCACTGAATAGTTTTCCAGTTCTCAATACCATTGAATCATTTTTTCTCCTTTACTCTCATTTACAGGCTTGGGAACAATGGGTCGAGGCATTGTGATTTCTCTTGCAAAGGCCAAGATTCCTGTGATTGCCGTAGAATCAGACAAGAAACAGCTAGAAACTGCTAACAAGATAATAACCTCCTTCTTTGTAAAGGAAGGATTGAAAATGCAGCAGAGTGGCCACACTTGGTCAGGACCAAAACCCAAGTTAACTTCATCTTTGAAGGAGCTTAGTAGTGTAGATTTAGTCATTGAAGCCGTATTTGAGGAAATGAATCTGAAGAAGAGGGTCTTTGCTGAACTGTCAGCTGTGTGCAAGCCAGAAGCTTTTCTGTGCACCAATACGTCAGCCCTGGACATAGATGAGATTGCTTCATCCACTGATCGTCCTCACTTGGTCATTGGTACCCATTTCTTCTCACCAGCTCATGTCATGAAGTTGTTGGAGGTTATTCCCAGCCGATATTCTTCCCCGACTACTATCGCCACTGTTATGAACTTATCAAAAAAAATTAAAAAATTTGGAGTAGTTGTAGGCAATTGTTTTGGATTTGTTGGGAATCGAATGTTGCATCATTATTACAATCAGTCGTATTTCTTGTTGGAAGATGGCAGTAAGCCAGAGGAGATTGATGAGGTCCTGGAGGACTTTGGTTTCAAGATGGGACCTTTTAGAGTGTCTGATCTTGCTGGGTTAGATGTGGGTTGGAAATCTCGAAAGGGGCAAGGTCTTACTGGGCCTACGTTGCCTCCGGGGACTCCTGCCCGAAAGCGAGGCAACAGGAGATATTGCCCAATTCCTGACATGCTCTGTGAATCAGGACGATTTGGCCAGAAGACAGGTAAGGGTTGGTACCAATATGACAAGCCATTGGGTAGGATTCACCAACCTGATCCCTGGATTTCCAAATTTCTATCACAGTACAGGGAAACCTATCACATTGAACCACGTAGCGTTAGCAAGGATGAGATTCTTGAGCGCTGCTTATATTCGCTCATTAATGAAGCATTCCGTATCTTGGGAGACGGGATGGCTGCCAGCCCAGAGCACATTGATGTTGTCTATTTACATGGGTATGGATGGCCAAGGCACAAGGGAGGGCCCATGTTCTATGCGTCCACAGTTGGGTTGCCCACAGTGCTAGAGAAGTTGCAGAAATACTACAGGCAGAATCCTGACATTCCCCAACTAGAGCCTTGTGACTATCTGAAAAAATTGGCTTCCCAAGGAAACCCTCCTCTGAAAGAATGGCAAAGCCTGGCAGGACCCCCTGGCAGTAAACTGTGAGTCAGCCTTTCAGGTGATGCCTCACATGCTGGCATCAGGTAATGCTCAGTGAGCATTAAATTTAAATCCTAAGGTCCAAAGTAAGATTGTTCTGAAATACAAAGCTAAAGAAATAATCAGCTAAGCCTTCTTTTTGGGTCTTCTGCCTGATGATTCTAATGGGTGAAATACTCAGTAATGTGCTTCCTTATGTCTCTGAATCTGCCCCTACCAGATAAACTGTTCCAATCCCAACAAATGAACTCATGTTAATACCTTTATAGCTAAAAAGAGAACCTCAGGAATTAGTTCCTAAGTGCTTTTATCTTTGGAGAAATATGTAATCGATTAACAGCTGATAAAAGCAACTAAGTTATAAATTAATTTTGATCTTCTTCAGCCTCACACACATAGCACTAATAGGAAATCTTATGGATCTTCCATTTAGTAAACATTCACTGTGCCTCCCCTGAGCATCTTGAACAGCACTTGACAGACCGAGAGCTCAGGCAGGCATTAATTCAGCATGGATGCCTGTGATGAAGTTCAGTCCATAGTCTCAGCAGTGTAATGGAGATAGTCTCCAGGGTTGAGTCAGCAGGGAAGGTTACTGTGAGTGAGCATGAAAGCTGCCCAAGGGAAGGCAGAGTGTCAAAGGCAGAACAGAGTTGAAGTTACAGGCAAGGCACAGTTGGGAACTGGTGAGGGGCCAAGTGCTTCAGACCAGAATGGGGAACTCAGAGTAGCTTGGCAAGTCATGCTCAGTACTAGTGTATCACTTCTGTCCAAGGCCCACTCACACATGTTCACAGTTGTGCTTGCTGCCTGCAAGGAACTCAGTAATGTTTGTTGATAATTACCTTGAGATCAGGGGATATCCTGGTCTTTCTTTACTCTTCTATTCATGGAGAAATAATAGGTAGTAGAATGTTGTTGACTTAGTGTAAGAAGGGATCTTAGAGAATGCCTAACCTCCTCTGATTCTGTCTTTGATTAGATTCTGTAATGATGCCAATTTTCCTGTCATGATAAGCCTTTGTGTGTGTGAAAATGGTTAAATTTTGAAAAGTCCAAAATTATTATAAAACAATTTTTTTATAATTTTGTTATAATTATAAGACTTCTCTTTCAATGTTCTGTGTGGTTGGTTAACATTTGGGGGGTTGGTCAACACAAAAACTCGTACACAGATGTTTTCATCAGAATTGTTCATAATAGCCCCAAACTGGAAACAAAGTAAATGTCTATCTCTAATGGATGGATAAACAAATTGTGGAATAGCCTTACAATAGACTATTCAGCCATAAAAAAAGATGAAGACTGATATATGCTACAACATGATGGACCTCAAAAATACTTTACCAAGTGAAAGAACCCAGTCAACAAGGCCACATATTGTATGAATATTTATATGAAGTGTTCAGAATAGGCAGATCTCTAGGAATAGAAAGCAGATAGCAATTGCCTAAAGCTGGAATGATTGGGATGAGAAATGGGGAGTGACTGCAAATAGGGACAGGATTTCTTTATGGTTAATAAAAATGTTCTGAAATCATTGTGGTGGTGATTACATAAGTCTGTGAATCTACTAAAAACTATTGAATTGTATACCTTAAATGGGACATATCTCAATAAAGATTTTAATGAAAAAGTAAATAAATGGACTCAAGTTTTTGGCCTTCAGTGTCGATTCTGTTTTCAAAATATTTTTACCTGTGAACTCAAACAAAACCTTCAAAAGTTCTGATAGAGCCCTAACCAGTTTGGCTCAGTGGATAGAGCATTGGCCTGCAGACTCAAGGGTCCCAGGTTCTATTCCAGTCAAGGGCATGTACCTTGGTTGCGGGCACATCCCCACAGGGGAGTGTGCAGGAAGCAGCTGATCGATGTTTCGCTCATCAATGTTTCTAACTCTCTATCCCTCTCCCTTCTTCTCTGTAAAAAATCAATAAAATATATATATATTTTTAAAAGTTCTGATAGAAAAGTCTTGAATGACTATACTATATTTTTCATTGTAAAAACAAAACACCCTTAAAGTATGCCTCAAATTGCAGTTCAATTTAGAATAGTTTTGGAGAAACCAAGATGGTGGCATAGGTAAACACCTGAAATTGCTGTCTCGCACAACCACTTCAAAACTACAACTAAAAGACAAAATGGGTATCATCCAGAACCACAGGAAGGCTAGCTAAGTGGAAATTTTACAACTAGAAGGAAAGAGAAAAGCATACTGAGACTCAGAGGAGGTATGGAAGTAAAGTGCAAAGGTACCAAGGCACGCACACAAAGGGCTCGTAACTGAGCACGTGGTTTTTTTTCAATCTGGTGGGAGACACAAGCTCCCGACTGCTCTGAACTCCAGTTCTTGTTGAGACTCTGGGGATCCAGACTCATTTGGGGAGAAACTCGACTATTTGGCATCAGGCAGAACTTGAGAGCGGCTTTCTCTCAGAAGTGCTTGCAGCAATTACCTTGGGATACTGAGACCCAGGGTCCTCTTAAAGCAGGGTTGAGGAACAGCCATAGCTGTTTGCTCTGCCCTGAGACCTTGCTCCACCCAAAATGTGCACAGAGGCTTTTGAATATGAATGGCTTGGCCCTTTACAATCTAAAATTACCTATCAAACTGCAGCTGGGTCAGAGAAACTCAGAACATCCAAAAGAAGGCCCAAGGCCTCACAGCAGCTTGTATTGCTTTCACACTGGGTCTCATCTGGCACCTCCAAACCCCAAACAAGAGGAATCTGCAGATCTCTCTGTAACTCCTGCTGGGTGGCCTCAGGCAGAGGCTAAATTAGCACCTCCTTACAGATCCAAGAACCAGTGGACCCAGTGGCCAGAGTGGGGCCATCCAGATTACAACTCCTTAAATCTATAAGGGACATACTCAGGGGGCAGACTCAGGGAGCACCAGAGCAAGTTCTGCCTCATAAGGGTGTCTCCAGCATAGAACTTCTCGCATCATAGACACAGCTGATTCTCACAGCCAATTGGCCTGAAGGCCAATTCCTCCCAGTGATACCAACAACAATCAAGACTTAATTACAACAAGACTGTACACACAGCCCACAAAAGGGTGCACCAAGAGAGTCCACCTCAAGTAATTGGGGGGGCTGAGCCCTATAGGACACCTATCACACAAAGCCACTCTATCAACACAAGGAAGCAGCCAAAATGAGGAGACAAAGAAACAAGTCACAAGTGACAGAAATGGAGGAAAGCAAACTATTGGATATAGAGTTCAAAACCATGGTTATAAGGTTTTTCAAGAATCTTCTAGAAACCACTGATAAATTTAGTGAGACCCTCAAAAATATAAAAATGGAGCAATTGGAAATTAAACATACACTAATTAAAATAAAGAATAATATGCAGAGACCCAACAGCAGACTAGAGTATCCCAAGAATCAAATCAAAGATTTGAAATATAAGGAAGCAAATAACACCCAACCAGAAAAGCAAAAAGAAAAAAGAATCCAAAAATATGAAGATAGTGTAAAGAGCCTCTGGGACAACTTTAAGCATGCGAATTATGGGGGTGCCAGAAGAAGAGAGAGAGCAAGATATTGAAAACCTATTTGAAGAAATAATGACAAAAAACTTCCCCTACCTGGTGAAAGAAATAGACTTAAAAGTCCAGGAAGCACAGAGAACCCCAAACAAAAGGAATCCAAAGAGGACCACACCAAGACACAGCATAATTAAAATGATAAGAGCAAAAAACAAAAAAATATTAAAAGCAGCAAGAGAAAAATAGTTACCTACCATGTTTCCCTGAAAATAAAACATCCTCTGAAAATAAGACCTACTTACAGGTTTCCTTCTGAGTGAAATATAAAGCATCCCCCCAAAAATAAGGCCCCCCTTAGGCACCATCTCAGAATGAAAATTAATTTACCATAAACTGGTCTCTAGGGCTGCCCCAACTGGCATCTAGCAACCAGTGACGTTACATGTTCTGGTGTCACTTCTGTGTGGAGGCAGAGCAGAGGTTGGAGTGAGCGGTGAGCATGGGGCAGGAGAGAGGAGGAGACTTTCGCAGATGCGTGTAGAAGAACAGGAGGATTAGAGCAGATGGGACGCGGCGAAGGTGGTGAGTGCTGGTCTGTCTCTGGTGACACTACCTGATACTCGCAGCCACCCTCATGATGACTGAAGGTTCTCAGTCAGTGGCAGACCCTGCTCCAGCCCAGATCCAGGCCCCAGCAAGCCCAAGTGACAGTCCCCAGGCAGGGCCCAGGGGGTAAATGTCTGATAAAGGGGTAGGGGAGATGTCTGGTGAAGGTGTTCAGTGGCACTGGGGTGGTGGGAGGGGAATCACTTAAAATGACACAGGAGGATCAGAGGGGGAAATCAAAATGACACAGGAGGATCAAAAGGGGTTACTAAAATGGTAATCCCCCCTCTGATTCTCCTGTGCCATTTTGATTCCCCCTTCAGATCCCCCCTGTGTCATTTTAAGTGATCCCCTCTTCCCACCTTGATACCCCAATTCCTTTTTTTTACCCCTAGAAATGAGCGCAAAAAGAAAAAGCTACTCCATGGAGTACAAGAAAGGAATTGTGGACGACTCTTGGGGCCAAAATCTTACTGCTTTCTGCAAAGAGAAGATGTTGAGTATTCGATTGGTCCAAAAATGGTGAGCAGAGTATGGTAACCTCATTGAACAAGTGGACAAGGGAAATGCTAAAAAGTGCAAGTGTGGATCAGGTCGGCAACCATTATTTTCCAAGCTGGAAGACCTGATCTGTGAATGGGTTGTTGACAGGAGAGCAGAGGCTTTGGTTGTGAATAGGGCTCAGATTCAAGAATTTGCCCTTGCAATGGCACCACAGTTCAACATAGCCACCGAAGACTTCAAAGCATCACAACGCTGGCTGGATAATTTCCTTCAGTGAAGTGAACTGTCTTTAAGAAGATCTACTGATACAACATTGTTTAGGTTGGAAGATACTCAAATTATTAAGCGAGCTCTTGCATTCAAGTCCTTTATTGATGATGCTGACTTCTCTAAATAC